AGTTATGTATTATTGATCCTAAAAGCCCACTAGATGGAAAAAGCAAGACTCATTTTTATTCACCACTAAACTGGAGTGAGTTTATAAGGCTTCTAATATGTAACCACAGAAGTAATAATTTCAGTCAAAAGACTATTTGGGAATCAATAAGTACCATATTTTTCCACAAATAATGCGCGCACATGAATAACGCACCCACTTATATAATGCCCGGCATGGTGTGCTTATGAAAATAGTGTGAGGGGTTGTGTGGTTGGCAAAAACATATAATGCATGTGTTATTTGTGTAAAAATATGGTAGATTTTCCAAATGCTTTAATTTGTGATGACCTGAGATTTTGAAAATGACAGTTTCTATGATTTATGAATCAGACCAAAGGTCTGTTTCAATCTTCATGATTATCTAAAATGATTAAATAGTATTTTTCCATCTAAAAAGAAGCTGTGCTTCACATTTCATCAAATGCCAGTATGACTCATTCATTATAATGCTTCATGAATAACACTTGAACAACCAATAAAAATCACAGTCTGATCAACAGAAGGGGTCTCTGGGTGGTGCAAACAGTTAATGCGCTTGGGCTGTTAATAGAAATGGTGGAGATTCAACTCCACCCAGAGGTGCTTCAGAAGAAAGGCCTGGCAATCTACTTCCCAAAAATCGGCCACTGAAAACCTATGGAGCATAGTTCTATTCTGACACACATTGGGTGGCCGTGCATTGGGGTCGACTCAATGGCAACTGGTAAAAAAAAAAATAGAGAACAGAACCATCTTCAGAGTGCTACCCAGGCCTCAGTCCCATGGCATGTCAGTCTCTAGGAGAATTCCTGAAACAGCAAGAACTTTCCTAGAGCATGGTCTGATACAAATGTGATCTTGAAAAGAGATGTAACATTCCAAGGCTGAACTGTTTTGAGTAGTAAATGCTTTGATATAACTTGAGTTTCAATTATTTCAAACAGTAAGACTTTTAATAGATTTTTTCCACTTGAAAAAAATTCTTGCTTTTTTTAGTATTGTATGAAATTTTCCATCCTTCCTTTTCTCAGAGGAATATAGTAAAAGTCAATGAGAATATTTATGAAGTTTTTAAGCTTCCTGGAAGAAAAGTGTTAAATATCCAGAGTTATTAATGTATCTTGTAAAAAAATAGCAAATAATGTTTTGAAGATCCAAAAAACATCAATATTCTTTGTTCTTTTGGTTCAGTGTTTTGACAAACCAAATAAATACCATATTGAGCTGAGGTCATAAACATAGTTAAAACTTAAAAGAATATCTAACTAAGACAAAAAGCATAAAATTCTATGCACAATTTTAACCAATGTCTATTGTAGTTCCTGTCATGCAAACAAAAATAATAAATAATGAGTATTATTCATAAGCACAAAATAGCATGTTTAGAAAATTGCTGTTCTCTCACAACCATGTGACTCACGATCATATTTAATCTGTTTTTTGGTAATGTTAAAACAATATCTCTTACACTCATGTGTATTTAAAAAAATGCCTTCTACCCATCTGCTGAGAAGAGAAAAAACACAACACATCTCTTTGGAATTTACCTTGAATTATAAATTGTTCCATGTTTTCTTTGAAAGGCTGGATGTGCTCTTGTGAGGATACCTGGTACACTTTCCCCGCTTCAACCTCACAGGCTGAAATCAGAGAGAGACAGATGTTGTTTAGAACATCACATTGTTAATGAGGCGTTAAAACAAATTTTTAAAAATATGTTAACTAATATTAGAAAATCCTGTTAACCATGCTGACATATGCTCTACAGATATTTTGGAAACATCCAAACACAGACAAGAGAAGCCCGGAAGTAAGACTTCATTTGAAGGGAATGTAGAAAGACATTCACAAGAATCTATATCCCCAGTTCTGCCACCTGCAAACTGTGTAACCTTGGGGTAGTTACTTAACCTCTGAACCTCTGTCTCCTCATCTGTAGAATGGGCATGATATTAGAGACTAACTCTCTGTGCCATGAGGAACAAATCAGTTAATAGACGTAAAGTGTTAGAATAGAGCCTGCCACATAGTAAGCACTATATAAGTATTTCCTGGAACCCTGGTGGCACAGTGAGCTACAGCTGCTAACCAAAAGGTCGGCAGTTCAAATCCACCAGCCGCTCTTTGGAAACCCTACAGGGCAGTTCTACTCTGTCCTATAGGGTCGTTATGAGTCAGAATCGACTCGATGGCAACGGGTTATAGGGTTAGGTTACCCTTATTATTATCAAATGAGTTCCAATACAAGTTTATTCCCAATTAAAGGACAAATTTCTGGAAAGTAATAAATAATAGTGGCTGTAATGTTAGTATATTTTAAAAGAACAAAAAACAAGACCAGGTGCCATCTAGTCATTTCCAACTCATGGTAACCCCATGTGTGTCAGAGTAAAACTGCGCTCCATGGGGTTTTCAATGGCTGAGTTTTTGGAAGTAGATTGCCAGGCCTTTCTTTTGAGGTGCCTCTGTGTGGACTTCAACCTCCAACGTTTCGGTTGGCAGCCCAGCACATTAAATGGTTGCACCATCCAGGAACATGAAGTATTTATTATATGCCAGGTGCTTTTCACCTATTATTTAACTTAGTTTTTAGATTAAGTCAGTAAAGTAAACGTTATTACCCTCATTTTACAACTGTGGAAAATTAGGCTCAAAGAAGACAACAATTTGCTCAAGACGCCATAGATAATAAGTAGCAGATCTATAATTAAAATTCTGATCTGATTCCAAAGTTGGTACTCTTTCCACGATAACCTGTGCCATCATAACTAGGTAGTCGACAGATCCAACTTTGGGTTAATTAAGAAGTTTTCTTGAGGAAGTGGCTGCCGTTAGGATGACACAAAGAAATCAGAGCCCAAAAGGAAATAATTTAAAATTAAAAAGAACGTGCTTGAAAGATAAAACTTTATTAGATTCCTGTTTGATTCAGGAAAGCATACTGTCACCATAATTCATAAGGTAAGGTTGCCCATTTTCCAAAGAGACTTTGTAATTATATTTTTTAAGATATTTTCTTTCTTTTATAAACCATTTTTCCTCTTTCTCCCCTCTCTAGGTCATTAGCTTGCCTAAGCAGAGGAATATGGGTAGTCTATATTGTTAGCACACCACCTGTCTGTCCGTTTGTTGTACTGTGGAGCCTTGCATGTTGCTATGACACTGGAAGCTATGCCATCAGTATTTCGAATACTAGCAGGGTCACCCATGGTGGACAGGTTTCAGTGGAGCTTCCAGACTAAGACAAACTAGGAAGAAAGGCCTGGTAATCTACTTTCAAAAGTGAATCCGTGAAAACCCTATGGATCATAACTGAATATTGTCTGATACAATGCTGGAAGATGAGCCCCCTAGGCTGGAAGGCACACAAAATACACAGTGGCTGCAACAATGGACTTGAGCGTACCAACAATTGTAAAGATGGCGCAGGACCGAGCAACATTTCATTCTGCTGGACATGGGGTTCCCATGAGTTGGAGTCAACTCAACACCAACTAACAACATATTGTTAGCACATATTCTATCAAATGTATAAAACAATTGGGCTTGGTAAAATTTAAAACCAGTTTACACATATCTAGGTTCTCTCTGCCCATTTGTCCCTCACTCCTCAACCTCTACCTGAGCAATCTCTCACACGTGTGATGCTGGTGACTGTCCAAGCCACGTCTCTAGCCCACAGACAGCCAAACTCACTATGTACAACACAGAGCTCATCACAGCCTTCTCTAAACTTGCTACTTTCCTTATACTCCCTCCATTGATGGTATCACCATCCATCCTAAATAACTCAAGTCAAAACAAGGGAGTTGTTCTTGACTCCCTCTCCTCATGCTATTGATTTTCCCTCCTAAATACAACTTGTGTCTGCCTAATCCGGTCCATTACTTCTTGATTCTGGTAGGACACACCCTCATCATTCTTATCTGTGCTCTTGTCAAAACCTCTTAATTGGCCTTCCTAGCTCTTCCTCCAGTCCATGTTTCCTCTCAGAGCTTTAAAACCCATCTCAAAGAGACCTAATTACTTAACCAGTTCAACAACCTTTGCCCTCACAACCGCACCCTGCATACAGGAACAACTTCACAATCTTGATATGAACTATACCAGTTCCACAATCTAGGCCTTGCTAACTTTCAAAACATCGATTCAAATTTCATCTTTATTTGTGGTCTCCTCTGCTTAAAATGCTTTTCCCCCTCCCTTTGCTCTTTAACTAATTCCCACTAATGCTTTATGACTTAGCTCAGGTGTAACTGCCCCCAAAAGTACCCCCGGACTTCCCCATGTCCCCTGCTTCCTCCATTCCATCACCTGTCTCTAGGCAGGAGTGGGCCTTGCTCCTCTGTGATCCTGCAGCATCTTGTGTGTATAGAAGTAAAGCTATTCTTCACTGAGTACTTCTTATTTGCCAGGGACTGTCCTAAGCAATTCTCATGTGATAACCCATTCAATCCTCATAAAACCCTTTGAAGGATATTGTTAATATTCCTGTATTACATTAGAGAAAAGAGAAGTACAACAAGACTGCCCAATATTCAATCGTAATCACCAAACTATATTAAAGTGATTTTTAAATATGTCTGTCCTGTCCCACTAGACTGAACTACTTGAGGAGAAGAAATCTGACTTATTCTATTTGCATTTCTACTGCCTGACACGGCAACAAATTGCTGTTGGATAGATGAGTTAGTGACTGGATAAATTGCTACTGAAGTAGAAATAACAGTCCAGGTTTTACAATCTAGCACGCATGTTTAAATTCCAGCTCTGTCATCCCCTGAAAGAACCTTGTGATTTGAGGTTAAATACCTAACCACTTTGGACTTCAGTTTCATCACCTGAAAGTGGATTTCATAAAACTTTTGTTTAACATCAGTGTGACAATTAGTAAAAATGTGTGTTAAAATGCCAAAAACTAAACTTGGGACACATAAATAGGTATAGAAAAAATAGTAGGTATTGCTGCTATTGTTTTTAAAATACCACGTGGTTCAGCCTAGAACAATATAAGATGAAATAACATAGCTCCTTTCAAAGAGCTGAAGTGTGGTTCTGTAGACAAGAGGGTATAGATCTCTTCTATGTTCCTCCAAAGGAGGGAGGAAGCTGAATGAGAAGTTAGAGAAAGATTTCTGGTCCTATGTATGGGGGGTGGCTAATCTAATGTTTAGGGAAAGCCTGCAGGAAAATAACCTGCCATGAGAGGCAAGTGAGCACTTCATCACTGGTACTATTCAGAACTGTGGTGAAAGGGACTGGTCAGATGAGAAGACCTATGGGCTGCATCACTTATGACTTAGCTCCACGTGGCTGAACACTCCATGTTCTTTAATTTATCCAGATGAATAATAAGGGTATGCTTCATAAAGTTCAGGAGTTTTATTAAAATTTTACAAATTAGGATCTTGAATGTAATGCAGGCAAGTTTTATCATTCAGAGGAAATGGGGTAGAGACTTACCAGCCCCTTTTATCATTTCAGTGAATTATTTCTGGCAAAATCAGATGGAGAGGGGATCCCAAGTCTTTCAGCAGTTTCTAATTGTTAAGCAGCCTATGGACTCATGCCACAGATACTGACTGACTGCCTACTGCATACAAGGTACTGCTTTAGGCACTGGGGCTACATCAGTGAACAGACTGTCCTCAGGGGGTTTGCCTTCTACTAAACGATGTTGTCATTGTTGTTAGCTGCTGTCAAGGCAATTCAGACTCATGGCGATGCCATGTGTGCAGAGTAGAACTGCTCCATAGGGTTTTCAAGGCCGTGACTTTTCCAAAGCAGATCACCAAGACTTTCTTCCAAGGCACCTCTGGGTGGGCTGGAACCACCAAGCTTTTCACTAGTAATTGAGTGTTTAACCATTTGCGCCACCCAGGGACTGCTAAATTATATGATCTTTAATTAACTATTTTTCAGTCCCAAAGAGAAAAGTAAAATACTAGCAGCCTCGTGTCTAATAGCCTAGGTTAGCATGAGAAAAATCCAGGCTCTCCCCTACTCTGCTCTTTAAAACTTAAAAGCCAGAGGCAAAGAAGATTAGTATTTTGATTATTTCATTCCCCATTGTTCAATTAGAAAATGGAAGTAATAATTATCCTTTTCTTCATGTTGCTGTACAGTGTCTGGAGGGCTAGGATGCTATAAGAACATCAAGACACTAGAAACTTGAGAATCTAATGGGTCTAATGGCTTAAAGGAGGTTTGCCATCATGCAGGAAAGCAGAGTTAGATCACAGACTGACCATTATAAAGTCTTCTAAAGTGTGCCAACATTTCTCTAGGTCTTTATACTCAGTTAACTATTAAACAGCAGAATATATAATAGATACAAAAATAATAATTTATCCTTCTTTTTATATTTTTAATTTCCACTTAATTTTGTGAATGCCCCTTGGTCCATTCAGTGAATGATATCCTTGACATAAATGCAAGCAAAAACTATTTCTTCTATCTTTTCCCCTTAACTTATGGTAGAATTTCCTGTACACACTGGGAACCAAGTAGAATTTCAGACCTAGAAAAACCTTTAAGTCTTTACTGCCAACTTCATATCATTTCTAGTCCTCCTTCTAAGAAGACCACTGAAAGACACCTGTAACATGTCTGGTTGTTTCCAGTGATGCCCATTTTTATC